GACGGCGACGGCGGCCACGGCGGCTGGCGGCCAGCGCGGCGGCGTGCGCCAGGTCCCGGTCCCGCAGCGCCAAGTCCAGGGGCCGCAGGAGGGAGAGGCCCGCGCCGGCTTGCTCCAGGGCGGAGACCGGCGCAGTCGTCGTCGTCGTCGCCGTCGTCGTCACCGTCGTCGTCGTCGCCGTCGTCGCCGTCGTCGCCGTCGCCGTCGTCGTCGTCGTCGTCGTCGTCGTCGTCGTCGTCGTCGTCATCGCCGCCGTCGCCGTCGCCGTCGTCGTCACCGTCGTCGTCGTCGTTGTCGTGGTCGTCGTCGTCGCCGGGCGTCGTCGTCGTCGCCGTCGTCGCCGTCGCCGTCGCCGTCGCCGTCGCCGTCGCCGTCGTCGTCAGCGGTCGCCGTCGCCGTCGTCGTCGTCGTCGCCGTCAGCGGTCGCTATCATCGTTCTCGCAACCTCCGTCGTTTGGCCTCGTTTGGCGTCGTCATCTTCGTCCGTCGTCTTCGTTGCCCGTCGACGTTGTCAACCTGCCCTGGTCGCCGCCGCCGTCACCGTCGCCGTCGCCGCCGCCGCCACCGTCGCCGTCGCTGCCGCCGTCGCCGTCGCCGTCGTCGTCGCCGTCGTCGTCGTCGCTGTCGTCGTCGTCGTCGTCGTCTTCCGTCTTCCGTCTTCCGTCTTCCGTCGCCTTCCATCGTCTACCGTCTTCCGTCGTCTTCCGTCCGTCCGTCGCCGCCGCGCCCCTCGCCGCGAGAGGTCCAGGTCGCGAAGCAGGAGAGGAGGCAAGGACAAAGAGAAGGCCAAGGCTTGCCAGCCGCCTGCTCGCGCGCGTGGGGCCGCGGAGGGCCGCCGAGAAGAGGGAGGGAGGAGGGAGGAGGGAGGAGGGAGGAGCGAGGAGGGAGGAGGGAGGAGGAGGAGGGAGGAGGGAGGAGGGAGGAGGGAGGAGGGAGGAGCGAGGAGCGAGGAGGAGGAGGAGGAGGAGGAGGAGGAGGAGGAGGACGAGGACGAGGAACTAAGGTTACGGGCAACGTTCCAGGGGGGGATAGGCTCAGGGCGGAAGTCATCGGCCCCCAATCGCCCATTCATCGCCGATTTGGGCCGGATGGCCCACCCCGCCCAGGAACGTGCCGTTTGGCTATCGGGGGCCTATCGCCGATCTATCGGTCACACATCGCCAGCTCCAGGTCGATGTTCCCCCCCCTGAGCCGATCCCCGCCTTACGATCCCCTCCATAGGAAGAGGAGGAGGAGGAGGAGGAGGAGGAGGAGGAGGAGGAGGAGGAGGAGGAGAAGCAGACCCCAACGTCCTCGCGTCAAAGCACGCTGGGTGGTTCCTGCCTGTCTGGCCAGGCCCGAGCACCGTAAGAGAGTAGCTCGGGACGGAAAGCCGGCCCTGAGGAAAGGGTCGGAACTTCCACTCTGGTGCTGCAGCATGATGCTGCAGCACCGGAGATGCCATCTCCGGCGGGCCCAGACATTTTTCGGGGCCCTCTTGGAGTCTTCTCGGAGCCCTTTTGGGGCCCCAGCAGTCCCCCAAGAGGCCCTCAAAGGGCCCCCCAAGAGGCCCCAAACAGACTCCAAGAATCTCAACAGACCTCAAGAGGCGCCCAAGAGGCCCCTTATCATGCTCCAAGAAACCCCCAGCAGGCCCCACGAGGCCACCAAAAGGGCTCCCAAGAGGCTCGGCGATCGTCTCAGACATGTACGAATTCGTACAATGTTCGGATGCATGGTAACCCCGGCGCCGCGTCTACTTGCGAAGGCTCTCCGCATGCCCCCACGCCGCTTCACAAGAGTTCCGGTGGCCCCCTGGGTCCCCTCTTGGGACCGTCCGGGGGGCTATTTGGGCCGCATTGTGGGCCTCATGGGTCGTCTCGGTGCCATCTTGGGTCGTCTTGAAGCCCTCTTCGGTGGCCTCTTAGGCCGTCTCGGGGCGATCATGACGGCCTCTTGGGCCGTCTTGGAGCATTGGAACCCAGAAAAAGCGAGAACGCCAAAAGCCGCCAGAAAACCAAAAGAATAACTATGGTTCTGGCCTCGTGCAGCCCCCGAGGGGGTCCTCTTGGAGCCCCCCAGGGGCGTCTGCAGGGTTTCTTTGGCCATTTTGAAGTCATTGTGCGCGTTTTGGAGCGCTCTGGGGCCGTCTCTGAGCCGTCTTGGAGCAGCGCAATCGCACTCGAAGCTCACGCGAAGTCTTTGGATACCTCAGGTTGGATCCCTCCTGAAGGCCCTCCGAGTCTCAAGCCGAGCCCTGCAAGAGGAAGCATGTGCACAAACAGCGGATACATGGTGACCCCCCCGCGTGGAAGCTAAACAAAAATCTCTTTGGGTTTTTGGGTCTCTCTTGGACCTTCTCTTTTTCTTTGAGAGGGTAAGAAATTTAACATGACACAAGGCGCTCTCCAACAAGGAGGCGGTTTGTCTTAAATGTGTGTTGAATTATTCGCCCTCCTGGAGGCATCTTAAGGCTCTCATAGGGCTCCCGCAGGGGCCCAAGAGGGCCCCAAGATGGCTCCAAGAGGGCCATAATTCTTCCCACCTATTTAACACAAGACGCTCTCCAATAAAGAGGCGGTTTGTGTTAAGTGTGCGTTGATTTCTTGGCCCTCTCGGTAGCGTCTTAAGCGCCTTCAGAAGGCCCACGCAGGGACCCAAGAGGCCCACGAGGGCCCCAAGAGGGCCCCAAGAAGGCTGCAAGAGGGCCCGAAAAAAAGCACAGCACCAGCACCAGCACCACGGGCAGCCCAGGCATCACCAGCAGCATCAACGCCAGCAGTAACAGCAACATCTGTAGCAACAATAACGAGAGAGGCAGCAACGGAAAGATGATTTCAAGATGGACCCAACAAGGGTTTTTGAAAGGATCACGAAATTACCCCTGTCGCCCCAAGATGCCCACCCCTGCTGAGCAATGGCCCAGAAATGACCCCAGAGCAACCTTGCGGCCCCAAGAGAACACCGAGACGAATCCGTTGTCTTCCGGCTGAACTAAGGCTACCGCGCGACCCCGATTTTACTCCATGAGTCCGAGACGACTTCGAGATTGCCCCAAGAACCCAGATCCTTACATTTACGGCAGTCAATAGATAGCAGACCCCAGAATCGGCGCATGTACCCTCACTGCATAGCCAGGGTGGCGTATTCACCGGTCTTGAGCCGAGGATTGGCCCAGACAGGATCGATATCGGTGTGTACTTGTTGGTGTTCTCTTGTGATGGGCCCGCCGAGACGCGTCCATCTGCCGCTCTTGCTCGTCTCTCCCTTCCCTGGCTGTCCCATGCCGCGACCCTGTTGCGTCCCCTGATTTCTCTCTACTCTCGCGCAAGGGTGGGGACCTTGTTCTCTCAGCGCTATCTGCTCAAAGAAGCTCACCATGAAGGAACAGGGTTCTGAGGCAAACGGGTCCCGAGGTTCTTGGCCAGTTTTGGTCTCCCGAGACCCTCCCCAGGCCCTGGGAACATCACAGAACGGTTCAGGATGAAGGAACGGTTCCGAAGGTTGAGGTCCAGGACCCGTCTTCTGCAGGACACGTTTCTTATATGCGAAGAAGTAAGGGGCAGGACGAGTTGTTTTCGTGAGTTGCGGCAGCGAGTTCCCCACCAGTTCAAACAGGCCAAGACCCTAGGAGTTCAGAGTTTTTTGCAAGAGCACATGCTGTGACGATGAAGTTTCACAATGCACAGTTTCGCATCATTCTGGGATATTGCTCACCCGTGCCACGCGTTCCAACGAGTCAAAACAGAAGCGGTGCACCAAAGCATGATCGTACGATCATGGTGTATTTGGCGCGCATGCAGGATTCCAGGCATGCTGGTTCAGAAGCTTTGCCGAGCCATGATGGATTGAGGCTCATGTGTCGAGGCTTTACGTGACCTGCCTTGTTCCCAGATCTCCGATGTGTTGAGTTGTTTCACGACGGGGTCCCCAGAGCTCTGGATCACTTCCTGGGGATCGGTTTTTGTCCTGGATAGTTGTTTTGACAGTCTGGGGTTCCGGCAAGGGCCCCCGAACGCCAAACAGCTCAAATATTCTTTGTCGATGGTTGTCAATGCGTTGGAGGTCTGGGGTCAACCGTTCGATCGCGCTCCCGACATTTCCCGCCGCGGTTTCATGACCGGCGTCGATAACGAGAGATGATGCGTCGGCGACTGCAGAGGGTTCGTTTACGCCAGGGTGTGTTTTGCGATCTGCGTCGGTTGGGGCTCGGGTAGGGGAACAAAAAGTCACATAAGCATAAAAACTCGGAGGTCCGCGCGGATCCCTCGGATCGGCGCTGGCCCCCCCTCCCTGGCGCGCGGCGCCGGAGGCGCCGCCGGGGGACCCCAGCGCCGATGCGAGAAATCCGCGCGGGCCTCCGAGTTTTTATGTTTATGCCACTTGTTGTTCCCCCCAAAAGTTAGGGGAACAAAACGTGGCATAAACATAAAAACTCGGAGGCCCGCGCGGATTTCTCGCATCGGCGCTGGGGTCCCCCGGCGGCGCCTCCGGCGCCGCCCCTGGCGCGCTCCGCGCGCCAGGGAGGGGGGGGGGGCCAGCGCCGATCCGAGGGATCCGCGCGGACCTCCGAGTTTTTGTGTTTATGTGACTTTTTGTTCCCCTAGGGAGGGGCCTCCACAGAGTGTCGAGAACCTCCACTCTCTGGACGTCGAGTTCCGAGCGCAAGGGGGTCCGGGATCCAGAGTGCAGGAGAGCCGCTTCCAGACTGGAGGCCGAACCCCCACTTTGCAGTGCTTTTACCCCCCTGGGTCCGTCGTGGTCTGGAAGCCGCTCCACTTGAATACCACCTGGCCAGTGTTGCCCTGGCCGCGGACACCGACTCACAACCACTTCTGCCCTGGAGCGGCCAGTGCGAAGACGGCCCTCCCACATCGTTCTTCCCCTCGTCGGCCCTCCTGAAAGAGGGGGTCGGCATCCGTGGTCTGCTCTGGCTCAAGAGCGGCAACCCTCCTGCAGCGCTGTAGCTTCCTGCCAGCACCTCGCCTCGACATTCGGCACCCTCGTCTCGTTCCGGCAGGATGGCGTTCCTGAGCCGCGCGTGCGCAGCGGCGGTGCTGGCGGGCGGCGCCAGCGCCTTTCCCGTGTACGACGTGGACCAGGGCGAGCCGCTGCCAGTGAACGATCAGCGCGGCACGGCCTTCGCCTCGGTGAGCAAGCTGGATGATTCCCGGGTGATCCAGTGCTACACGGACTACGCAAACAGCGGCGGTGCGGGCACGTGCAAGATCCTCAGCGTGGACGGCATGGCGGTCGCCGAGGAGGGCACGGTGGTCTTCGACGCCAAGCACACCCAGTACATCAACGTCGCATCTTTCTCCTCCTCGTCTGCCGTAGTCTGCTACTTGGACCACCTCGACACGGAGCACCTCGAATGCAGGTACTTGGAAGTCGGCGACAGTAGCATCGTGGCCAGCGAGCCCTATGTCGTCGATGATGGTGCGGTGGAGATTTCGTTCTTGAGCGTCGCGAGCCTCACACAAGAAGTCGGCATCGTGTGCTGGACTGAGCCGCTCAACGAGTTGAAAGACAGAGCTGGCGTCTGTAACAAGCTGACCTTAGGCCAGGCGGGTGCGGTCACTGTCGGCAACAAGACATATCCTAGAAGCTTTACGCTGTTCCGATGGCCTCCGAGAGACGTCTCCCTCTTGGCTTCACGGTGGCCTTCTGAGAGCTCGGTGTTTACACAAGTCTCCCAGGTGCCTCTCGGAGGCCGCGGCGGCTGTGGATCGCCCCCGTTGGCGCGGACGGGCTTTGAGGTATTCAGGGCCGATCGTGAGTCAGGCCCGTGGAGGGCGTATGGAGAGTCCTCGAGGGGGGTGCTCGCGAGCATCTCGGAGTCGGTGAGGGCGTGTCTCGGGGCGCTCTCGCACCACCCGGCAGAGCATGCCTCGACGAGGTCATCGAGATTCCGCGGGGGCCTTCAGGCAGAAACGAATGAGTAGTACGATGATGGGCCACCAACGGCAGCGTGCCATTGATAGTCCTTTTCCCTCCCAAAACATGTGCTCCTCCTCGTTATCATCCTCCTCCTCCTTATTCTCCTCCTCCTTCCGAAGCAGACCCAAGGCAAGCCTGGGCGTTTGGCTTTTTTTAACAAGCACGCAATTGTGGTTTCGTGGCTTTTCCAATGGATTCTGATTGTGAGGCTTTCCCATCGAATCCCTTTGGGGCGCTTTCCGAACAGATTCCCGTTGTGAGGCTTTCTAATCGAATCCATTTGTGGTGCTTTCCAGAGGATTCCTGCTGTGAGGCTTTCCAATCGAATCCTTTTGTGGCGCTTTCCAGAGGATTCCTGTTGTGAGGCTTTCCAATCGAATCCTTCTGTGGCGTTTTCCAAAGGATTCCGGTTGTGAGGCTTTCCAGAGGAATCCCTTTGTGGCGCTTTCCGCAGGATTCCTGCTGTGGCTTTCCAATCGAATCCCTTTGTGGCGCTTTCCAAAGGATTCCTGTTGTGAGGCTTTCCAATCGAATCCCTTGTGTGGCGCTTTCCAGAGGATTCCTGTTGCGAGGCTTTGCAATACAAGCCCCTGGTTGCGCTTCCCATGCGATTCCTGCTGTGAGGCTTTCCAATCGAATCCTTTTGTTGTGCTTTCCAGAGTATTCCTGCTGTGAGGCTTAATCTCTTTGTGGCGCTTTCCATGCGATTCCTGTTGTGAGGCTTTCCAATAGAATCCCTTTGTGGCGCTTTCCAAAGGATTCCTGTTGTGAGGCTTTCCAATCGAATCCCTTTGCGGCGCTTTCCAAGGAGTTCCTGTTGAGGGGCTTTCCATTCGAATCTCTTTGTGGCGTTTTCCAAAGGATTCCTGTTGTGAGGCTTTCCGCCCCGAATCCTTTTGTGGCGCTTCCCAAAGGATTCCATTTGTGAGGGTTTCAAATCGAATCCCTTTGTGTTGCTTTCCCAAGGATTCCGGCTGTGATGCTTTCCAATAGAATCCCTTTGGGGCGCTTTCCAAGGGATTTTTGCTGTGAGGCTTTACACTAGAATCCCTTTGTGGCGCTTTCCAAGGGATTCCTGTTGTGAGGCTTTCCAACACATTCCATTTGTTTGCTTTTCCAGAGGATTCCTGCTGTGAGGCTTCCCAATATAATCCTTTTTTTGTGGCGCTTTCCAAAGGATTCCTGTTGTGATGCTTTCCAATACAATCCCCTCGCTGTACTTTCCAGCGGATTCCTGCTGCGAGGCTTTCCAAACAAATCTCGTTGTCGTGTTTTCCAGAGGATTCCTGCTCTGAGGCTTTCCAATAAAATCCCTTTGTGGCGCTTTCCGCAGGATTCCTGTTGTGAGGCTTTCCAATAGAATTTTGTGGCGTTTCCAAGGGATTCCTGCTGTGAGGCTTTCCAATCGAATCCCTTTGCGGCGCTTTCCAAAAAGGATTCCTGCTGTGAGGTTTTGCAATACAAGCCCGTCGTTGTGCTTTCCATACGATTCCTGCTGCGAGGTTTTCCAATCGAATCCTTTTGTTGTGCTTTCCAGAGGATTCCTGCTGTGAGGCTTAATCCCTTTGTGGCGCTTTCCATACGATTCCAGTTGTGAGGCTTTCCAATCGACTCCCTTCGTTGTGCTTTCCAAAGGATTCCGATTGTGAGGCTTTCCAATCGAATCCTTCTGTGGCGCTTTCCAAAGGATTCCGATTGTGAGGTTTTCCAACAAACGGAAAACAGAGAAACAAAGTTACAAACGTTCAGATATCATTCCGTGGTCGACCGCCAGATTATATTCGATGTTTTGTTTTTTTGTTGTTTTTGTTTTTTTGGTCTTTGTGTTTTTCTAGGTTTTCTGATCAGTTTTTGCGTTTCGTTCGGCCTCCACAGAAGGATGCCTATTGAAAACGCGCAAGCCGCCCAGGCCTGCATCGGGTCTGGCGCCCCTCCTCCTCCTCCTCCTCCTCCTCCTCCTCCTCCTCCTCCCCTTCCTCCTCCTCCTCCTCCTCCTCCTCCTCCTCCTCCTCCTCCTCCTCCTCGTCCTCCTCCCTCCTCCTCCTCCTCTCCTCCCTCCTCCTCTCCTCCTCCTCCTCCTCCTCTCTCCTCCTCCCCTCGTCGTCCCTCCTCCTCCTCCTCCTCCTCCTCCTCCTCCTCCTCCTCCCTCCTCCTTCCCCCTCCGCGTCCTCCTCCTCCTCCCTCCTCGTCCTCCTCCTCCTCCTCCTCCTCCTCCTCCGCCTCCTCCTCCTCCTCCTCCTCCTCCTCCTCCTCCTCCTCCTGGCAGCGGCGCGGGTTTGCCGCGCGCCGTCGCTCTGTGGTCGGGGGCTGGCAAATTCCGCCGCTCCCAAAAAACTGGGCGGCTCCCCCGGGGATGGCCGACTGTCTGAGACAGCGGGACCCTCCAGGGGGGAAGGGTCTGCCGGCCGGGGCCTATAGTTTCTGCTACACGGGAGCTCGGTGGGCACTTGCGCGAACCGTTAGGGCGGCGCCGTGAGCCCCCCGGCGGCCAGCCCGCCAGCCGTCGCCGCCGCGCCGGCCGCCGCCGCCGCCCAGTTCTTCAGCAACGCCTGGGGCCCGCCAGCTTGCCGTCAGCCCGCTTGCTGGCCCCCGCGCCAGCGCGCCGTGGCCTCCCCGCCTCCGAGCCGCGCCGGCGGCGCCGCGCTGCGCCGCGCTTGGCCGCCCAACGCCAGCGCCGCTGGCGCCGCCGCCGCCGCCGTTGCCCAGCCGCTTCGGCGCGCGCCCAGCGCCCGCGGCGCGGCGCCCGAGCCCCAGCTGCAACGGCGCGCCCGCCAGCCGCTCAGCGCGCGCCCCCCAGCGCTCCTCCTCCTCCTCCTCCTCCTCCTCCTCCTCCCCCCCTTCCCCCTTCCCCTCCTCCTCCTCCTCCTCCTCCTCCTCCTCCTCCTCCTCCTCCTCCTCCTTCTCCTCCTCCTCCTTTCTCTACATCACCCTTGATATCCGACGTTGCGAGCAAATACAGCATCACGAACAATCACGACCAGCGCCCTAGACCCCATCTTCTTGAGACATTTTTCGGGCGGGATCGATATGTGAGGACCCCAGGGGCCTCCAGGAGCTCTAGAGGGCCCGTTGGGGCCACCAGGGACTTTGCGTCAGCGTGTGCTCCACGCCTAAACGGCCCGTACACGGCAGGTTCGGGCCGCGTTGAGGCAACGGCGATCCCACCACGGGCGTTCAAGATTGAACGCCGCCAGTGGCCCAGAGCCAGCCATTCTGGAACGATCTGGCGATCGAAGAGCCGCCGATCGGTCAAGGCTGAACGATCCTCGCGGTGGCAAAGACCGACGCCGACGTCATGGCGGCGCGAACCTGCCGTACACAGGCGCAGCTCGCCATATGCGCACCCCGCCGTCGCCTCGACCGCGACGGGCCTCTCGTCGCCGCGTGCGAAAAAAACTGAACGGCAGTGCAACTCTGCTGGGAGATTTCGATGTCGCTCAACGCTCTTGGGCCTCTCTCGGCGCCCCGTGAGAATGATTGGGTGTGGCTGGCTGTTCTACATCGGATCGCGCGATGAGGATTTCCAGCCACCCCGAATCTCAGGTTTGAGCCGAGCAGTTGTGGGCACGCAAGTGTGCAGCTCAAGCTCCGGAGCGCGGGGGGCGGCAATGGGCCACCCAGAGGGCCCTGTGGGCCCCTGGGAGGAGGGGCGGCGTCTTCAGAACGTCCCCGGCAGGGCAGGGCCCAGCACCGCGCGCGGCGCCGCAGGCTCGGCCTCCGTCCTGGCCAGTTTTTCTTTCCAGATCCTCCCAGTTTTTCCTTACAGATCCTCCCAGTTTTTCCTTCCAGATCCTCCCAGCTTTTCCTTCCAGATCCCAGATCCTGGAGTGAGTCTGCCGCCCTCCCCCTCCTCCTCCTCCGCCGCGTCCTCATGCTTCGCAGCCGCGCCTCCGGCAGCAGAGTTTGTGTCATCAGTTTTGCCAATGCACCTCTGACGCGCATGGCTTCTCTCTCTAGAGGTCTCTCTCCGAAGCCGAAGCTCGCGCTCCAACGCTGGAGTTCCTGGTCCTCTTGAGGAGACGGGGGTGGATCACGCAGGGACACTGGTATATGGGGGGATCGGCGCAGGAGGGCATGCATCGACCCCCTGTCGCCCAGTGATCGCCGAGAAGCCGAAGTCGAGGAGAAGTGCCTACGTCGAACAGGATCAGATCGGCAGAGCTCTGGGGATGTACCGGGCGCCGCGCCTGGCTCCAGAGCGCTCCAGAACGACCTGAGAGCGTGCCCGGACGCTCTGGAGTCGGGGGTGGAAAGACCTCCTACCCTGACACGTCGATTAGTGAATTGGCCGTTTTCGGTTCGCGAGAGGGCGTCGCGGCCGCCATTTTTGCGGGTCCAGGTCCGTCGGTTTCGGTCCCAGGCCGTTGTCACTCAGGGGAGGTCTACGAAAGGGAGGTTTGTCCACCGCCGAGTGTGCTCGTGCTGGGTCTGCTCGAGACGCTGCCGACCCCCGGCCCGGGCCCCCCGTCGCCTGCTCCTGGCCGAGCAGGGGCGATGGGGTGCAGCGCTGGCTCCCCGGAGGGAAAACGTCCGGGGGGGGGGGACCAGCTCGAAGGGGGGGGGGGGGGAACATCGAGCTGGAATCGGCGATGCATCGCCGACACATCGGCGATGATCAGGCCCCCGATGCATCGCCGATACATCGGCGATGATCAGGCCCCCGATAGCGAAGCCGCGCGTTCCTGGGCGGGCTGGGCTCTCGGAGGCCCGCGATCGGGCCCCGCGGCCACTAGGAGTGGGCTCAGGACACAGAACGCATCCGCGGGGAAGTGGTCAGGAGCTCTGTGGGCGCGGATGGAAGCCAAGGGTCATACCAGCGGATGTCGGGGGGCACGTCCTCCAAGCCCGCCGGTTCTCGGGGATCTCCAGCTTTCTCTCCTGCGAGCTTGTCCTGATCGCCCTTTTGCCTTCTCGCCAGACACATGTCGTCAGGCCCATCCCCGGCCATGGCTCCCCTGCACCCTCGAGGCGGGGATGGATGCCGCGAGGCGTGGGAGAGGGCATCCAGACAGCTGGGCCAAGGCTTTCCCGGGTGGGGATGGGGATGATCGAAGAAGAAGAAGAATAATATTGATGAAGACGAAGAATAATATTGATGAAGAAGAAGAATACTGATGAAGAAGAAGAAGAAGATGAAGAAAAATATTGATGAAGAAGAAGAATAATATTACTATTGATGAAGAAGGAGAAAAAAAAAGAATAATAATAATAATAAGAAGAAGAAGAAGCAGCAATCTCAAAACCATAAAGAATGCTTGGGGGTCTCTGGATTTCGGAGATCTGCGCTGGGCCCCCTGCGGGCGCCTCTGGCGCCGCTCCTGACGCGCTCCGCGCGCCGATCCAGCCTCTGAGTTTGTGTCCTCCTCCATTCCCGGGGGGGGATGGGGAGGAAAGGCCCAACGATGTTGAGTTGGGCGGTGCAGGGCTTAGTTCGGCTCCTGCGACGTGCTTCGATGTCGATTGATTCCGATTCGGTTCGATGTCGGATTCCTATTTGGGCTTCGGTTTCTCAATTGAGGCCTTATCAGCCTGCCGATTCCGCCGATCCGACATCGATTCGGGGATCTCCTGGGCACGGCGCTGCGCGGCCTCCGCTCGTACATACGCTCCCCGCGAGCGGGGGCCAGCGTGTTTCGACACGGACTTCTCCACCTCGGACGTCACCGTGGAGGCCTTCTCCGAGACGAGTGCGGTGGTCTGCTGGAGCGCACAGGGCGACGGTGACTGCAGGACGCTGACCCTCGCCGGCCCAGGCTCCCAGGATCGAGGCAGCGGAAACATGGATGGGTCGACGGAGATCAAACGGCACAGACATGAGCTTCTGGAGCCCCGCGCGGATTTCTTGGACCGTCGCTGGCCCCTCTTGGCGGCGCCGTCGGCGCCGCCCCTGGCGCGCTCACCGCGCCAGGGAGGGGGTGGAGGGTTTCTCCGAAGGGCTTTGGCGACCCGTCCTCCTCCTCCTCCTCCTCCTCCTCCTCCTCCTCCTCCTCGACCTCCTCCTCCTCCTCCTCCTCCTCCTCCTCGACCTTCTCCTCCTCCTCCTCCTCCTCCTCCTCCTCCTCCTCCTCCTCCTCATTGGGTCGCCTACGGCCCCGGGGGAAACCGCCCAGGAGGGGGTCCAGCGCCGACCCAAGAGATTTGCACGGAGCTCCGAGCGTTGATGTCCCTGCCGTCGGCTCCGGCTCCCAGGCAGAACATCGCCGCGCTCCGTCGCCACATATCGGGCGGCATTGGCCTCATGTCAGAGCCCCGAATCATCAGGGGTAACTCGGGTCAGGGATAACTCGGGTTCTTTTTCCGGGAATCCAAACCCGAGTTACCCCGGACCCGAGTTACCCCGGATAGTTCGGGCGTCCAGAGCCCCGAATCATCAGGGGTAACTCGGGTCAGGGCTAACTCGGGTTCCTTTTTCGGGAATCCAAACTCGAGTTATCCCGGACCCGAGTTACCCCGGATAACTCGGGCGTCCAATCATGTTCTGGGGGACCCCTCTTCCCCGATCTGTGGATCTGGCCCCCGCGCGCCAGACCGACGGGTCCTTACGGCATGTGCTCGTCGCATCGACACGGCAGCGGCCCCGCCGCGACCGCTAGATATTGAACGTTGCCAGTGGCCACTATGGAGCGACCGGGCGATCGAAAGACCGCCGATTGTCGAGGGTTGACAAATCCTCGTGGTGTCAGAAACCAACGCCCAGGCCGTCACTCACCACCCACCAAACCACCCCAACCCAACCCGAATGCCTCAATTTGCCCTCCATTTCCAGTGGGGGGGGGGCGGGGAACATCGAGAAAACACATGGAACCCGTACCCCCCCAGACCCGAAATTCGGGTCTTCGGGTTGGGTTGGGGTGGTCTGGTAGGTAGTCAGTCACGACGCGAACCTGCCGTATAATCCATGTTAGCGTGTGCCCGACAGGACGACTTCGCCGTGGGCCCCAGGGAGCGCTTCTTCAGCGGGGAGTCCGAAGCTTTCCGGGGCCTGGCGCTGGTGCGGCTCACCGCGGCGCGCGGGCTGGTGTGCTGGGCGGACGGGGTGGGCGAGAACCGCGTGGAGTGCAGGTCGGTGGCCGTCGACGGGTCCGTCCTCGGCTACGGGGACGCGGGCGAGGTTCCGAGGAGGAAACGGTGTCGATACCGCTGCCCTTGCCTCCTCGTTTTCGTCCTTTCGGGCCTCCTGGGGGGCTCTCGTCGCCCGGGCTGGATCCGACTCGAAAATCCTGGTCAGACCGCACCCCAGTAGAAGTCCAGGGAGTGGCGGTATCGGTAAGTGTTTTCGTTTCTCAAAAGAGGGGGGTATCGAGGGTTACGGGAAAGGGGCCCCAGAGGTGCACGGGAGGTGCACTACTCCCCGCCCCCCGTTTTGCTTCCCCCCATTACGCAACGCCCGAATCAGGGGTCATGGGCAACGTTAGAGGTGGGTAGGCTCAGAGGGGGATACGTCGACTCCCAATCGCACATTCATTGCCGATAGGGGCCCGATAGCCCACACCGCCAGGGAACGTGCGGATTCGCTATCGGGTTCCTATCGCTGGTCCATCTGGCTTCACAACTGAGTCAGGAATCGTGTCATCGCCTCCATGCCAGCTACCTGTTTGGTCCGGACGGCCACGACCCCTTGCAAAATATGCACGAAGGTGCACACGGTGGTATTACCACCCCTGTCCCGGGCACGTGTTCAGTTGACGATTGATTACTCCTCGGCCCACCTTAACTCTGTCGTCCCTATTTGGGTGTGTTGCTGGGATAAGTTGGTTTCCTCATAGGTGACGGCCTTCCCCTCCCTGTACCTGACCGCGGACGCGCTTACCGAGGACGCCGCCCTCGTGTGTTATTCGGCTAGCTCGGAGGGCATCGCGACCGATCTGGCAGGCCCGCGCCACACCGATCCCGGCCCCATCCAATTCTCGGTTGTCCCCAGACGGTGTGGTGACCAGACATGTGAGCGACGCAAGAAACGGATTCGATTGCGCTGACATGTGTGCGTAAGTTCCCGCGTAGTGTCGCGCGTAAGCGCCCTCGATTCCACTGTAGCATGCCGCGCTGGCGGCCCGCTTAAGCTAGCGCGTAAGTTCGCTATGCCATCTCGCGGGACAAGACCCTGTTGTTTTCGTCGCTCATTCGTCTCGGGCGACTGGGGCCTCCGAGGTTCCATAATCGTGCGGTTCCAGACCTGGCGGTGAGGTCGTTGGGGAGTCCGAGTTCATTATGCGGTCCGTCACCACACGGATTTGGGGCCCGAACGACCGTTCGCGTGGCATTTGTGTATAGAGGAATGTCAGCGGAGGAACAGGCACCGATACCGACCGCATCACTTGCCTCGGTTTTGCCTTCTGTGCCCTCCTGGGAGGCCTTTTATCGCCACGGCTGATGCCCCGCTTCCTCTCCCTCCCCCCTCCCCGCAGCCTGCGGCTGATTGCCGCCGTTGGGGCTCTGTTCTTGCGACCTGCTTCTGCTGCTTGAGCAGCGGCTTTCCACAACGCTGGGTGCAGTTCGTGTGGACGCGCCCCGTGCGTGCTCGAATCGCGACAGTGGCGTCACTTCGCAGGCGGGCGGAGGAAGAATCGTCTGCTGCCTTCCCTTCTGCTCGTCCCCGCCCCCCGCGCCCCCGGATGTGTTTTCCACCGTGCGAAAATCGGCACCTCGAGGATGGGACGGTAGTTGCTTGGACAAAAAGTGCGCGCGCCCATCGCGCCAAGACAACGTTACGACGAAGTGCATCCAAAACATCGGCAGCCCTCTCCCCCCTAAACCCAAAGTTGGCAGTGGTGCACGCGAGGCAACCCGGGAAGGACTAAATGTGGACTTTCCAAGGTTGGGCTTGGGGGAGGGGGTCACGTTACGCAAGATGTTACTCAACATCACACGATATGGTGTTCGTGCCATTGGTGTGGACACGTTTCACCCCAGAGAGGGTCGGCGGGCTCGGAGGACTTCGAAGGCAGGGGCACCTGTAACGTCGTCGGCGTGGTGCCGAACGGTTCCGATGTCGGCGCAGGCCCCCCCAACGAGGTGAACTCGGGCATCACGCAGCACATGTTCGTGGCCAGCTGCGACGACGAGTCCGCCGTGCTGTGTTATTCGGACGGCGGCGCGGGCAGCGGCAACTGCAAGGCGCTCCGCATGGCGGAGACGACCACCTCCTCCACCTCGAGCACGGAGACCACGGAGACCTCCACCACAACCGCCACGACCACCCCGCACACCACCACGGAGACCACCTCTGTCTCGGGGACCAGCACCACGTCCTTGCACACGACCTCGGCGACCTCCACCTCCTCGTCGGCCCACACCACCACCGTCACTACCACCACCGCCACCGCGACCACCAGCGACCCGGTGGAGGACTCGGGGAGCCCGGCACCTGGCTTGCTGGGAGCCTGCGTGGCGCTGCTCGCGGCGCTGGGCGTCGGGCTGCGTTGAGACGGCGCTCTTGGGAAGAAGATGAAGAAAAAGAAGAAGAAGCATCGGTGCACAGCGAGGTCGCTGGAAAAAGAGTCAGATTGTGTTCAAGAGGAGCTGAGGATTTCGGGCCATGTCTTCAGATTGAAGCCGAGGAGCGGAGAAAGAAGCTGTTCGTGGCTGGGGCTCGCCGTGGCCAGGAAGGCCCATCTTCCAGTATTCAGGGTTCCTTATGATAGGTGGGCAGAAGCTTTCGGACGTCCGTGCAGATCTCTTGGATCGGCGCTGAACCCTCGTAGCGGTGCCTCCGGCGCCGCCCGTTGCGCGCTACGCCCTGGCGCGCGGAGCGCGCCACGAGGCGTCGCCAGGGGGGGTCCAGCGCCGATCCAAGAGATCCGCGCAGACCTCCGACAGTTGATGTTTATGCCGGTGCATCTTCTCCTATCGGGGGAACGCAAGACCCGAGTAAGCTGGAACTCGGGTTTGCCGACGTTTTTTTGACGAGCGCGTCCTGGATTTTGACGGTCCAGTTTTCGTGGGATGTCTGCAGCGGGAGCTCGCGTCAAATTACAGATGGGCCTCGTCATTTTTATGATGGCCCCGTCGGGCCAACCCGAGTCCCCCGCACCCGAGTCTTACGTCTCCCCGATCCTAGCTCTGCGATCAGACAGGAACTTCATATTGCCGGCTAGCCACATGCGCTTTGCAGGCATCGGATCATAAGCGGAATGGATCGAAACGATCTTTCCGTATGGCAGTCGTCCCCAGCCGTGGGTCTCAAAGAAGTCCCAACCCTTCAATTGGCATCCATGTACGGTAACACCTGATTACCAGCTAGGCGGATGTGCTTCGAAGTTAAGGTCATGCGCGGCAGTGATCGAAACGATCGTTCCGCACGGCTGTCGCCTCTAGCCAAAAAGTGGAGGCACGCATCAAGAAACCAAATGCTTCGACAGGGTACCCAGGGTTTCTTCGCTCCGCGCGCTGCGCGGTGACTTCCTGCGGTTCAGGGTGCTCTGGGTTCCCCCCAGAGTGCGTCTCGCGCACGGGTTTTCAGGGCGGGGTTTCGTGCGAGGGCCTCTTGATGTCTCTTGCAGCCGCGTCCGCGCTGTATCCTCAGCGGGTCTGTCACCAGGGCGGTGCCACTGGAATTGGAAGGGAAATAATGCAACGCCTCTCCTTCTACCTCCGCCTTCCCCACCACTTTTCTTCGCATGTCTGAAGGACTGCGCCCTGTGCTGCCACCCCCCCTTGTCCGAGCCGTACTGGGGCTATCTCGGGGCCGTGTTGGGTAATCGTTCGACGTTGGGAGTTCTCTTCCGGGCCTCCAGGGGCAATCTTGGGGCCATCCCCTCGCCCCCCCCCCCCCGCCCAAGATCCGCTCAGGACTAGTCCTGGGACCCCATCCGGGGTTCCACGCCGGCCAGTTTTTCGAGCCCTCTCGAGCCGCGGCGACGGGAACCTCCAGAATTGCCCGACGACGAAGACGACGTCCTTAAAGGCCCTCCGGGGTATCCTCTTGATCCTTACTTCTGGCACCTACCCCCAATGCGTAGACTTCCGCGCGATCTGGCTCTGTCACTCTGGCTTCAAATCCCATTTCGCAGATAAGACGCCAAGCGGAACGTGCATTCAGGTCGCCTGCGCGGAACTCACTGCCACGAACATTGATGTGCAGACGTCCGTCCAGCATCAACGACCACGCGTTGTGTCCTCTGGATCCTTCGGGGGCCCCGTCCTGGAGATCTCAAGGCCCTGGGGCCCCGTCTCGGCTCCTGTCCCCCTCTTCGTGCCTCCGCCCGTGCCTGTGCCAGAGAGGTACTGTACACCTTAGGCGATGCTTAAGAAAACTTACTTTTTCGGCCAGAGTCTCGATTATTCTTAACGTTTCAATGTAAATCCTAAGACTTTGATAGAAATTGTGGGTTTTTATTCAAGTTCTGAGACCATGAATTTCTTAACCCATGATTTCTTAACCATTTCGCGTGGTGTACTAGCCCATTTTGGGTTCAAAGATGATGTTTGTGCTGAGGGAAACAGGTCTCTCCTCGCTCTCCCCAATCCCTCTCGACCGTGATCTCGATAGTCAGAGACAATGCTAAGCGGAGCAGGTATCGAAGAGCAGCCAGGAGACCATACCCCGAGCGCGACAGCAGCACACAACGACGAGCGACGCCGAGACCAGCCGACGCAGACCGAGGAGAACGAGCCCGCAAGGGATCCAGATGGTTGGTGGAGAGACGAGTGGTGGAATCAGAACTGGTGGTCATCACGAACCTCTCGCGGTGCCTGGTACGCCGACGGAGTAGACAGGGACTGGAGTGAGCAACATTACTCCAGGGGAAGTCCTGGGATGAGTAGTGCAGTGCCGAAGTCAATCGTGATTTTGGTGCTCCACCGGTATGGCTAGGCTACGAGCACCTTGACTTGTTCCGCGCCAATCTCAGATCCTAGGTGTCCAGGACCGAATTCACGGAAGAAGTGCAGGCTGGAAAAGTATTGGAATCTTTGCTGGTGGACATACAGGCGAAGTTCAAGTTCGTGAGGTCGTCGCTCAACGTCTCAGGGGGGATAGAGAAGCTCCTCGACCACCTAGCTATTCTGAACGGAGAGCGCCCAGGGGACCGAGAGCGCGAGGCCCAGAACCTAGCTTCGTTCGGCTTGCAGCTGAGGCGCGGGGAGTCACTGACGGACTTCGCAGTGAGACGAGACGCCCAGGTTGCCGAGGCGGAGTCGCAGGGCCCGACGGTGCCCAACGATATCAAGTTTCGTTTTTAAAGGGAAGGGACCAGTTTTTGGGGCGCAGAATAAGATCAACCTCGTGACGTCGGCGAATGGGCGCAGAGACTCCTGGACGTCAAGGAGAAGGGGGCCCTGCCATCTTCCTCGTCGGCCAGCGCGGCCACCTACTTGGACGAAGTCGATGACTCGCTCGAGTTGCTGGATGAGGGCGCTCAGATTTCCCTGGAGTCCCTGGGCAGTCAGGGCATGGGCGAGACCGACCTCGCGCCAGCGCTTGCAGCGGCAATAGAAGAGAAGTGGGGAAAAGAAAAGAGACGCACGTGGGCAGAAGCTCGACAGCTCCAGGCCAGTCGCAGAGTGGATTGAGATGTCTCTGATCGACGAAGGGGGCTCTGAGCCCGGCCTGCGCCGCATCGCGCCTGCCGACCTGAAGAAGAAGACGCGCTGCTGCGCGCGCAGACGAAGCGCGACATCCTGACGGGGCGCGCGCAGGCCGACCAGCAGCTGCGCGCGGCGCAGAGCAAAGCGCCAGGTGCGCCGCAGGCCCAGGTCAAATCCCGCGACCACTCCCACCGCGGGGACGCGGATCTCGCCAGTCCGCGGATGGCCGCCCAGCCCCGCAGAGACCGACAGAGGGCCGGGTGGCGCAGGGCAGAGTGGGAAGTGCAAGGCCAGGGAAGAGTTGCCGAACAGAGGGCTGCCGCATCGGTTGCGCCCGCGACTTCTCCCTCGGAGCCTCCGAAGACGCGGCCCCAGTCGTCGTCTGCCGCTGTCGGCCTGACGGGCAGCTCAGAAGCAGAGACGCTGAGCTACCGTGACAGTGGCAGGGCGACCCCCCTGCCCCCCAGAATTGCGACGGTGCCGATTGGGAGGGCAAGGTCTAGGATGCCGAATTCACGATTGCGAAGGACTGGTCTGCGCCGCCCCCGAGCGCTGACAGGCAGCCGAAGCGGAAGCCGCCGGCAGCCCAGAGGTGCGCGAAGCGCGCTGACATGAAGAAATCAAGGAAGGTTGCAAAAGAGGCTGCTGAGACCGCGCCGATCACAGCCTGAAGCTTGCCCTGCCTCCCTTTACAACAATGAAGGATGAGGTTGGCGACTGGCCCCGTCTATCCTAGGGCATCTCTCGTCTTCTCTCCTCTTGCCGCTTTTATCACTATTATCATCTTGCTCGCGCGCACTGCTTGCTTCCGCCGCCATCCGGGCGCGGGGCCCTCGCGTCGCGCTCGCCCCGCAGGAGAGGGGCGGGCCGCTCTGCCAGCCCGGCTGGGCGCGCGCCGCCGCGCCACGGCAAGTGTTTGATCCCTCCTCACCGCGACGGCCTCCCTTGGCGTCCTGGGGCCCTCTGGGGCCGTTTTCGGGCCGCATTGAGCCGTCTTGGGGCTCTTTTGAGGGCCTCGTGGCGGCCCGCCCCCGACGAGACTAAGAAGGCGAGCGTGCTGAACATGTGCGCCCCCCCAAGGGAATGGGGCAATGCGTGCGTACTGGGCTTCTCTCGGCGTTTCCCGGGGCGCGCTCCTGGGCCTTCCCGAAGCCGTCTTGGACCGCCGTGGGGGTGCCTTGGGCCGTCTCGACGCTCCCTGGGACTGTCTTGGCGCTGCTGCGCGGATGCTCTCGGGCTGTCTAAAGGCTCTTCGGAGGCCCCGGCGACCCCGATGGGGGGCGCCGGGGGGCCCAGAGCCCCTCCCGCGAATGCGATTTTGTACCCCCGGGAAAGGGGGAAGGGGGAGGGGGGCAGCCAAGTGTGTCGCGCACCTCTCGTCGCCCCCAGCACGCGAGGGTCGGCGGACCCTGACGAAGCATGTGCTGCCGTTCCCAGTCTGGATGGATGCTTTCCCGCGGCGTGAACTCATCGCGGGGCCCCCGTGCCCCCCCGAGCTCGAACGCCTTCGTGAACGCGTTGGGCTCTGAATCCAAATATCCATCGCGATTGGCGACGAATCAGCGCGCGCCAATTTAATTTCCAGGCAAAGATCTGCAAACACCTACGGGGAACGCGCTGTTGAGGCATATCAGCTGATCAGCTGGATGGGAGAATTCCTGGACCTCGGCATCTCTACTACGCGCAGCGGCGTGGCACCCGAGACGCGGCGGCGGATGGTCACGCCAAGGGCACTATCGACCGCGACCTGTTCTTGCAAGCCATGGCCAGTCATCAGAGCTACACGCGCGACGTGAAAACGCCCGCGCCGCATGGAGGCGACAAACATCCCATCGCCGACGCATGGCCGCAGCGGCAGCTCACCCGCCTGAGTGGGCCCCAGAAGTCGGGCGAATCAT